ATTTTTTTAATCATTAGGCTAGACAGCATGTGCTAGATGACTGACCACTGAGTGACTGACAATTCTTATGGCTTCATAGTATACAAAGCAATAAACAGCCACTATGAGTAATAATCAATCACAGAAGCCATTTGTTTGGAATATTGCTACAAAGCAATAAAGCTTATAGCTATTATACACCTTCCTCTTGAAAGCAAAGAACAAAAGAGAAAGACCATTGGAGGATGAACTTGCCTTAATTTCCATAGTCTTAAAGCTCCATCAAAAATGCCCCATTTTGAAAGTTATTTGAAGCCAAAGCAGATATACTGTGATGTAAACACAGACTTCATTTGGGTGTATGGGGATCCAAAGAAAGAAACATTTTTCTGCAAATGAGATACACATTCATTTCTGTTGCTTATCCCAATTTAGCCTACATGAGTATTTTGCCCTTACAAAGGGTGGGGGCAGGGAAGGATAACATGTTCTTTGCTTTCAAGAGGAAGGTGTATAATAGCTATAAGCTTTATTGCTTTGTAGCAATATTCCAAACAAATGGCTTCTGTGATTGATTATTACTCATAGTGGCTGTTTATTGCTTTGTATACTATGAAGCCATAAGAATTGTCAGTCACTCAGTGGTCAGTCATCTAGCACATGCTGTCTAGCCTAATGATTAAAAAAATTAAATATATGGTTCATAATTGCAATAATCCCCACAGACTGCTGTCTGTAACTGCAGTTAATAACTGGTTTGTCGGAGTTTAATGGTCTGAAGCAAAATGGTCTTGAAGCCTGTTACTCAGCTGTCACTGCAAGAATCTGAATGATTCATTAGGCAAAAAGAAACATTTAGTTAACATATCATCTGTCCTTCCAATTATCCTTTAGCACTGCTGCATTCACCACATTTAAGCATGCTGATTATATGGCTTTGTTAATAATGCATTCCTTCTGGCCCCAGAAATTGCTGCATGGAGCATGCACCAATAGTCATAGTGTAAAATTCCCCCACTTACAAACAACTCAGCTTAATGCAGGTGGAGCATATGTTTTGGGGAAGGGGTTGAAGAGGAAAATCCATGCTCTAACAGAGGGTCAGCAGAAAAGACAGCAATGCAGTCCACCAGTGCATTCCTTCAGTCTTCAGATGAAAAGACTGGAGTACCAGACAGATTTCTCTTTGCCTCAATTTCCTGAGAGAGACCCAACAGATCACTTCTTCGCTTTCATAGATTTTAAAGGTTACTAGAGCTATATGAGCATGGGTTCTACATTACTCGCTACCCTATATGGGGCTGGTATACAAAATCGTTTTGCAGTACATAGGTTTCTTCACATAGTCCCTCCCATCAAGGCTGAAGTGGCATGTATGCCTTTGTTCTTGGCTAAAATAACTTAGTTGAAGGGGATGAAGATAAAATGGGAAAAAATAGCTGCTTACAATTACCACTTTTAGAAAGGAATTGTTCATAGTGTATCAACAGGATTTTAGTGGACATAATGCTTCAAGAATGAGCAAAGGAAAAATTAGGTTGGAGGTCAGGGGTCAAGTCCAACAAGCAAGGTCTAACTCACTATGGAATATTCTTCCAAGGAAAAGTAGCATGGTCAAATGCTGGCTGGATTTATTCATCCAGAGCAACCCAATGCCCATATCTGAAGATAACATCCATCCTGATATAACTTCATTGATTTATGTGAGTTATATAGATCAGTGGTGCTCAACTCACCCAGCCTCATGGGCCAGATGAATAAGAGAAGTGTTGGCAGTATCCTGGTCACCCCAGATTTTGGCCTTATGTTTATTCAAATTGCTTAAAGACTACTGTACAGCACAGGTTTTACTTCATATTGTACTGATGTGTACCATCATCATCTCCTGACCTGAAAAAGAACATCTTGCATTCAAAATCTATCTTTATGGTAACTATATAGTTGATCCAATAAAAGATAACACCCCAGCATTTAACAGAACTGATTTGAAACTTTGAGGTTTGGAAATGTGATGTAAGATTATTGTATTAGAAATGCTTCCTAATTTTAACCAGTGATTGTAGGATCATCAAAAAGTAGGACTAGAAGGAAACTCATGAGGTCTTCTAGTTCAGCCCCTTGTTCAAGGTAGGATCGTCCTAACTAAAACATCTCAGCCAAGTGTCTGTCTAACCTCATCTAGAAAATTCCCAGGGATGGAGATTCTTCAACTTTTCTAGGTAGCCTGTTCCAATCCTTGAACACACTTATAGTCAGAAAGTTTATCCTAATCTCCAACCTAAATTTCCATTTCTCGTGTCAGATATACATAAAAAAGTTTGAGTAATTAACTAAATAAAGATTTTTTTTTAATTGGAGAATAGGAAGTAGTCACTTTATCCAAATTGTCTCTCCCTGTCAAACAAAGATCACAATGTGTACACAAGAAGTACACAAACATGATGATGTTTGAGAACAATATGGAAGGGCATTGATAGCAAAACATAGTTATTTATGTCTAAAGAAAGAATACTCCCCTATGATCTCTGCAATCATGAAAATGAGGCAAATGACTGATGCTGCACAGAGCTTCCGTGTGGCTTGACACTGTTCTCTTTTTCTGCTCTCATAGGACTTTGACTGGCTTTGGCAATCGCATAGCAGGTTACATTCAGAATCCTCTGGTTCCTCCTGGTGCGTATCTCGGCTTAAGTTGTTCTTTTGCAGTTCTATACTACGGGATTGAAAGAAAGAGAAGGTAGAAAGGTATTACTATTTAGGGGCCCAATCTTGCAATTCACCCATGTGAAGATGTATAATAGGGTATAATATGTATAATAACAGTATTTATAATAACAGTTGTATAATAACAGTATGTGTACTGTTGGATTCATTTTTATTATATCAGGAGCAGCTGTGGCAGCAAATGCTATAAATGAGGTTGCAAAGCACTCATATAATACATAGTAGTGAGAAAGCACCACTGAATTCAGCAGGTGACTCACAAGAGGTCCATCTATATTTCATCCCTGCTCTCTCAGGGGGCAATGTTTTGTCTGCAGCATGCTTGAGATAGAGACTGTGGAGACTTCATTGCCACTTCACTTTGCATATACCACTAGCATATCCAAGTGGGACATGCTGAAGACTGTCGTTCCCTAGGAGTGCTAGAGATGTGGTATAGACAAAGCATTGCTGATATGAGGAACAGCCTGCAGAAGACTTCACGAACTCATCAGGGGGGTGCTATGTCCCTTTCATGTGGTTGGGCCAGGTTTTCTGTTTTCCATGGTCTCCTTCAGATAACCTTTCATTATGTACCAAAGTTAGCTACAGCACATGCTTTTCAGAAAGTCATAACTCAGGCTAATCCAAATCAAATTAAATGGAACATGAGGTCTGTTTCTGGACAAAATTTCAATTTTCTATTCCCAGCAACTTTGGCAGAAAGATTATTCAAAAAAGGTCACAATTTCTTTTCCTGTAATTGAAAAAACTATATTTTGCTCACTCTCCTCAAGCTCAAAAATGGCTGAACTGCTTTTGCCTCAGAGCTTCCCAGCACACAAAATATGATCCATCTTTAGGCAAAGCCTATATGTCAGCCCAAAAGGTCAAGAAGGACATGATGAAAAGGTTCTCTAAGGTAGTCTGGTCCCTTCATACTGTTCAAGTAGCATAAAAAGTGCAGCCAAATTTAATTTGCCAAAACCCCTTCAATTTTGCCCTTCCCAAAGCCCCCTGTATAGGAAATATGGGGCAGGGAGAGAAATGTGCTTTGACTGGAAGGCACAGTTATCCTCAATGGCCCTTAACATCCTTCCTGCCACGCACATGCTAGGGTAGCTCTGAGACTGTTTTAATTTATTTCAGTGTTGGGAGGCCCTAAGGTAATTTTGTATCCAACCCTGTCCCTCGCACCCTTTTTCCTGCAGCAAGTAGAGCTTACATGGAAAAAAAGGACTTGTCCCAGGAGGTTAGAAGGAAAACTATTTTGTGGCTTTAACTAGAGCTTTTTGTTGCTACAGCTGCTCTAACTATAAAAATCCAAAAGTAAAATCACTCTCTCCTATATCCAGTCATGCTACTTGTGGGACAGCACTACAGTAATACATGGTTAATTCCACCCAATGATATATATGTAAAATATATACAACCATTGAACCATATAACTTTTGTGTATGCAGAGGTCCAGTCCACAATACCATCTTGGTGTGTCTCAAATACAGCTATTGTTTCACGTTTGAAATTGATTGGCCTTGAGTCATGATACCAAGTTGGGCTTAACTACACTCTGGTAATAATAGCCTGCTTCCACATTCCTTGTACTGGAGGCTTTTCATTGGGAATAATAACAGTTGTCCCCTAGATTTTGTTAAAGGGGGCTATTTCTTATGTTATGTGACATTTTCCATGTCATTTATGAACTTGCCAAAGTCCCTGAGAATATAAATCCTGAAGAAAATTATGATCACCAACATGAATTTTTTGATGGTATGAAATACTGAGAAAGGATCACATAACAAGGAACATTGGTAAAGGGATACATTTTTTACCTTGGTTCCAGTTCTTTCTTGTGGAAGCTGGTTGCACCTAGCCAATTCAGGATTCTTCAGAAAAACTCAACTGTGAAAACCAGTTCCACATACACTGATACCACTATCTCGGCACGGGGGTCACATCAAGGTATATGAGGAGAGAGGAGAGGGAGAGGCATAGCAGAGTTCTGCAGACAGCTAGTATTTGGCCCATGAGGCCTGAGGCTGCTCTGCCTTCCACCAAGTCAGAAGCAGTTTGAAAGTCAGGGATTGTGTCTACACGAGATGCTGATTGTGCAGTCATTACTAGTTTATATAAGTACTAAAGCACAGTAGCACCAACAAATGTCTTTTTCATGATGCTACTACACAGTAGCCTAATACTCCTGTGCAGCAGTGTCACATCATGGTTGTTGCCATGCCATGTTAATGTGCAGTAGTATTAGGCTAGTGCACAGTCAGCATCTCATGTAGACCTGGCCAGGGAGCTGTAAGCCACAACAACTCCATTTTTCTCCTCCTGTATCAAGCAGATATAGGCAAAAGAGAGAATATCTGCCTGGTTAATTACCAGGAAAGAGGCAGAAATTTCCTTTTTCTCCTCTTTAACTAAAGTCAACAAGTACAGATTAGCTGCACAAATCTGGCTGTCTCAATATTTTGGAGATGTTCTAAGTATTCAGTGTTCCCCCAAGCCAGCTTAGTTCCCTAGCAGCATGGTCAGACACTAACATGTGGTCTCTACTTAGCTGAGACAACTGATTCCCTCTACATGCTTCTGCTCCCTTCACTGTGTGGGAAGAATCTGCCAAGACCTTTGGAGAAACTGAACTATGGCATCATACAAACAAGACCACAAGCTGAGTTGCTACTTTTCTCTCTTCTACTTTAGTAGTGATGGGATATAGAGTCTTTAGTTGTGGGTATTGTATGGTAGTGGTTTCCTCCAGCTTTACAGCTTTACATAGTACTTCAGCATAACCACTAGGGATCACTTGGGTTTAAAAGAAAAATTACATGGTTTCACTTGTCAAAGCATCTCTTTAAGAGACACGATGACAACTTTGGTGTAGCAACATTAACCTGTTGTCACAGAAGCTTTCGAAGGGTCTGTCAACATGGTATAGACAATGTTCCTGGGGAAAGCTTGAGTACATCTTGTCCCAGTGGCGACACATATGGGGTGCATGTGCACTCCCTGAGAGTGCTGGCCGGGGAGTGGGGGCACCAGGAGAAGTGCCAGTGGCACTTCTGGGCACATCCCTGGCCCTTTCAGGCACACCACTGGCACTTCTAGGCAGCGTTCCCTCTTAGAGCCAGCTTAGAGGGAACACTGCTTCTGGGGTGGCGCATGCGACCGGCCACGGTGGGACACCCCTACCCACCAGTCACTGATTGGCCACTGGGGGGTGGGAGGGGGCAAGCGCCATGCACACACTTATACTGCATCTTCATCCATTTGGTCTTGGTGCAGTACTGTCACCAGTCCCTTTTGTGGCCATGCACCTGCATCTGCTGAGCAATGTGCTTGAAGATGTCCCTGTTGGGGTTTCCTTTCTGGAGCTGGTGCTGGGTGTCCTCCTTACCCCAGATGGTGATGAGATCCCTCATTTCCCCATAGTCCCAGTTGTGTGATGAGGGTTGGTCAGTGGAAGACAGGATGGAGTCATCCATGGCCTGCGGCAGTGCCTGTGAGGTCTCAGCATCCATGGATGCATGAGGGTCTGGCTTCAAGAGGGTCAACTGAAGGTGGAAGGAAAGCTGGGAGAGTGAATGGTTGGAAGGAGTGGAGGATTTCATAGATTTCATAGACATTGGGGCTCGAAGGGACCTCAGAAGATCATCGAGTCCAGCCCCTGCCCAAAGGGCAGGAAGCCAGCTGGGGTCATAGGATCCCAGCAAGATAAGCACCCAATTTACTCTTGAAGGTGTTCAATGTAGGTGTTTGAACCACCTCCAATGGCAGGCTGTTCCAGACCTTGGGGGCTCAGACAGTAAAGAAATTCTTCCTTATGTCCAGCCTGAAATGGTCTTGTAGTAGTTTATGACCATTCGACCTCATCATCCCTGGGGGCGCTCTTGTGAACAAATGTACCCCCAGATCCTGGTGGTCACCCCTGATAAACTTATAGGTGGCCATCAGATCACCCCTCAGTCTGCGCTTTTCCAGGCTAAAGAGCCCCAAGGCTCTCAGCCTGTCATTGTAAGGTCTGTCTTCTTGACCTCTGATCATGCACGTGGCTCTTCTCTGGACTTTCTCAAGTTTCTCCACATCTTTTTTGAATTGTGGGGCCCAAAACTGGACGCAGTACTCCAGCTGCAGCCTCACCAAGGCTGAGTACAAGGGGAGAATGACGTCCTGGGATTTGCTTGAGAAGCATCTATGGATGCAGGCCAGCGTTTTGGTCGCTTTACTAGCCGCAGCATCACATTGAACCTCATGTTCATCTTGTGGTCAATCATGACCCCCAAGTCCCTTTCATCTGTAGTGCTAGCTAGTATAGCACTCCTGAGCCTATAAGCATGCTGCAGGTTTTTCCTCCCAAGGTGCAGAACCTTGCATTTTTCAGTGTTAAACGCCATCAGGTTCTCATCCGCCCATTTGCTGAGCCTGTTCAGGTCAGCCTGGATCACCCTCCTGTCCTCAGGTGTGGATGCTTTACCCCAGAGTTTGGTATGATTGGCGAACTTGGCCAGTCCGCTTCTGATACCAATGTCTACATCGTTAATGAAGATGTTGAACAAAATAGGCCCAAGGACAGAGCCTTGAGGGACCCCACTGGTCACAGCGCACTACGATGATTGACTTCCATCAAATACCACCCTCTGGGTCCGACCATGAAGCCAGTGGATCATGGTGGACCCAAGGCCGCAGTTAGCCAGTTTTGCCAAGAGGTGATCATGGGATACCAGATCGAAGGCTTTTTTAAAGTCGAGATATACAACATCAATCTCTTCTCCCTTGTCCAGGTGATAGGTCACCTGGTCGTAAAAGATAATAAGATTGGTCAAGCAAGACCTAATTGCAACAAACCCGTGCTGGCTATCCCTCAGGATGTTGCCATCAACCAGTCTGTTAAGAATGGCCTCTTTTATAATCTTTTCTAAGACCTTCCCTGGGATGTGAGATGCTTTTGACTCATTTTGTCCCTGTGTTCCTTTATTTTCCCCACAAAAGCAAATAAATTGTGGGTAAGCCATCTGGGGAACAGGGATCACATCTGGCAGCCTGTTGCCCTGCCAGTCAGCACCCTAGAGCTGTGCTTCTATAAGAAACTTACACTGTTTCATTTTTATATTCATCTGGCTTCTCATGTTTGACTGTGTCACTCGAAATACAGTATTTTGCTGATGTATTAGACCCAGAAGGTACCACAAATTGATTCATTCCAGATGGCTGAATTAAATACTGTAGTTTACTCACTTTCCCCTGGAGCTCCTGGCATACAAGTTTCTCCCTCTCCAGAGTTAAGATCTAGTGCTCTTCTGTATTTTGTGTGCAAAATTAATTTTCCCTTAACTTCATTTCCATTGGCTGGCACCAAAAGTTTAAAATCATCCTGGGGACTCAAGTCACAATTTGCTTATCAGTCTGCCAGGTTGGGGGAGGCAGTTCCAAAACTATCCCTGCTGTTTTCTCAGCCACCAAACTCTTTTTATGGTGTTAGGAAATGATTCATTGTCATATTCTTTGTGGGCTAGGTTTATTTTTTAAATATTCAAGGTACCTTCTTGCCACCAGCTAACAATACGTTGCAATATCACCACAGGGCAAACAAATGCTGTATTACAGATCTCATCAGACAGAGGAGGAAACCAACACAGAGAAGATGAAGCCAGAAGTGTTACATTTAGAAGCTAGAAGTTAGGCATCTAATAAAAGTGGCCTTTTTTCCAGAGGGGCTGAGCATCCAATGCTCCCTTTGAACTCAACAGGAATAAGAGGGGAGAGCATCTGGCCCAACATGTTAGAAAGGCTCTTGCCAGCTCCAGAGAGTAACAGGCTTTTCAATAGCTGCTCACCACTAATTGAAGGAATCTAAGAGACAGATTTTCAAACGTGTAGAATCAAAAGCATACGATGCACAGATCCGGCCTGTCAAACCACAAACCTCCTGTGTGAGAGAGACAGGACAAGATGTAGCCTTTGAGCTTTGCAAACAGAGACCTAGATTAAAAAAATAATCTGTTCTCCATTTCCAATTCCCTTTCCTTTGTAAGAAAGGCATTGAGAGTGAATGTCACAGAGGGCACCTACTGAGTCACGCCTGGAAAGAGTAAAGAAAATATTAATACATATTGCAGATGCTATACAAATCATTAACAAGCATGTTTGATTCTGGCTTCCTTTTGTTTGTTTTCATTTGATCTGTCGAGTGAATTGATCTACAAGCTGATGGCTATAATTGCCTTCCTCCTAGGTCATATCAGAGCTCCAAAGAAAGGGGAGAAGAGTGAAATCCAGCACTATCAAACTTCCCAGAAAAGTGACACCTCCCCCACAAAGGAAAACAACACTTTATCAGCATCTGACATAATAATGAAAATGTCTTTAGAAATAATACATCAAAACCATATTCACATCCTTTATGTAGGGGCCATGCTGATTTTATTTGAAGTTGTTCTTACCTTAGATGTTTTTAAGTCTACAGTTAGGATTGCAATTTTCAGCCATGATGTCCACAAATCTCCCAAATATTACAGGAGCAAAACAAAGGCAAATACTTACTTGTAGCACCTTTAAATGAGTTATTAGTCATCTAAGGGACAGTAAGTGTGCCAGTAATTATTTTATTTAATTAGATTTCATGGGCCTCCAAAACTCATAAAATCCAACAAGAAGCAATTCTGTTGTCTTTTCTCATGTCATTAGTGTCCAATGTCTTTTGCTCTGGTACCTTCTCAATGATTTCCACAAGAGAAAGAGCCAGGAGGAATTTGAGCAGGTTAAATGCATCTGGTTTTATTTACATCATTCCTAGAATGAAATTCCTCAGACAATATTCACAGAAATACTTTTCTACAGGAATCTCAACCAAACTCCAGTGGTCAGTTCCCAGGGAGTTGCACAACTTGACGCCATTCAGAAACAGAGCCAGAGTGCAAGCTCTGCAGAATCTCCTCTAGCCAGATCCTGCATCTTCACAGAAACATCTTCCCAAGACTAACATGTCTTCCCAAGACTGAAAACTTGCTCTCATGCTAAGAAAAATAAAGAGCTTCAAAAATAACATACTACAACATCACCTTATAATACCCGCCGCAACAATACTACAAATTAATGTCCATTTTAAGTCTCCTTGAAGTCACTTTTTTCTGAGATACCTGCAAAACACTGACTAATGGCTAAGAAGTTAGACCTAGATCCTTAAAAGATTTAGATGCTTAACTGCCATTGGTTTAATTCATCTGGGCCGTAATGTGCCATGACTTTTGCTTACTATTCTGAGTAAAACAGTCCCCTTATTACTATGTGTTGCCCTCATAAGTTCTCTCTCTCACATTTAGGATTGTAAGCTCTTTGAAGCAGGGGATCTTTTCATGACACATCTGCACAGTGTCAATGGACAGTTGGACCCCAAATTCTAACTGGGGAGTCTTGGTAGCATGGTAATACAATAGATAAAAACATTAATACCCAAGTCTAAAGTCACATACTTTACAGGTACCAATAAGCTTCATAAATTTTCTCCCTTCTAGCTATGAAAAAAAGAAAGGGCCTGAAGAATTACCTTAAAACTGAGTATTTTGAACACAAGGCAGTTCATTCCATTAATTCAAGGGTTTCTCACAGAAAATAGAGACCAGCAAGGTTTTTCTTTTGAATGAGGAGACTTATCTGATCTCAACAGCAGTGCATGCAGTGTCCCAGGGACAGAGAATTGGTTTATTAGGGTATCGAGTCCCAAGAGGCAGTTTGTGGGTCTAACGGGGAAAATCAATTTATGAAAACCTCTCTTACACGTTGTCTATATCAGGATGCTTCTACCAGTAGATTGCAATAACCATCAGGAAGCTGCCAGAGCATGTTCATTTCCCCATGGCTTCTGCTGGCTGAACTCAGAAGCTATATGATAGAAAGAGAAGGTACCAAATATTGGAGTGACTGTGGCAGCCAGCAGAAGGTGCAACTGAGTCTATATACTCTTTCTGTCAGCTATGGGATGTGGCATAACCCTTTTTCTGCTCAGAAAGGTTGCTCTACTCCTGAAAGAAGGGATTCTACTGTATTTAGTGTGGACACATCTGTAGATCTGTTGGTAGAACTATTTTTGTAGATCAATGGTGCTCAACTTATCTGTGGGCCAGGTGAGTGGCATGGGTTTGATCCACAGGTATAATCCAATGCAGGACCAGTCTGCAGGTGTCATCTGGCACGCCAGTCCAGCCTCACATGCTGGATCCATCCATGGAGTGACCCCACATGCTAGATCTAGCTTCAGAGTAACCTGTGCGCTGACACAACCGCATACACCAGCATGAACTGGTGCATGGGGCCATGTCATCTGGCCAATGAAGCTCTACAAGGGTCCAGAGATTTGGCAGAGAGATAGCAGTGGTAATGCTAATTACCCCAGTTGGATCTGGCCTGCAGGTCATAGGTTGAACACCGCTGTTATAGAGCAAACCTGAGATTGTGTCTATCTGATCATAAAATGGCAGGCACTATAGATGCCCAGCATATCCTAAGTAAAGATATAATTGCAATA